AACTTTCAAATTCATATAGGATTTGACTACTCGGTTGGAGCAACTTTAATCTTCAATTTTTGTCATTTTATGTCCGTCTAGCAATTTAACATATCTAGGGCTGTGCAGGATCCAAACCAATCCACTAAAACCGACCAATCCAATCCAATCCAATCCAATTTTCATTGGTTTTGACAACATTGATGGATTGGATTGGATTAGAAAAATAGAAATCCAATTGGATTGGATCGGATGGCGGATCAAGAATTGAAAATCCAACCTAAACCGAACCAATCCAATATACACATTAATATACTTTCATATTGTATAATATTTACATTTCATCTTGTTTCTCACTAATATATTAATCTTACTTTCGAAAAAATCAAAACATTAACACATTAAATATAATATTATATTAATTTATATTAAAAATTAATATATTAATGTCATATCTTTCATCATATTGAATTTTGAATTAAATGTTATGAAAGATTATGAAGTTTTTTTTATCATAATTATTTTTTCATACAAACCGATCATCCAATCCAATCCAATCCAATGTACATTGGATCGGATTGGATTGGATCCTGACATCCAAACACATTGGATTGGATTGTAAAATTTGTAATCCAATAGAAGATTGGATTGGATTGGATTGGTAAAAAATCATTGGTTTCGAACCGATGCTCACCCCTAATCAAATGTCTATGAAAATTTCCAAATAGGGAGAAGACATGTAAAATTAACATGTGTCCAAATTTCATGCAATCCAACATAAGAAGTGTGTACATAATCTTCAATATGGTCAAAGATCTCGAGCCCCTCAGCTTTCGAAAGATAATTAAAATTGCTATCTGCGCGTACATTAATTACAAAACAAAGGTGAAGCCTAGCTAGCAGCTATAAATATATATATATATCAAATAATGAATTAATGATGGATGAAAAACTCTCGTGCAGCAACGCGGATAACACAAGTTACAGCAAGAATGGCCGTTAGGATGTCTACGAGGCCACGCTCACAATTTGTGACTCACAAACTAGCACGTTGAAAACATAAGGGAGATCGACGAATGTTGGCAAAATAATAGCTATTTTCTTCAATCTTTTGTCCAAAACGACACACTTTAGATCGTCGTGGAGAATATAGTGAGATAGCCAAAATGTAGAATATCACGGATGCCCTGATTATGTCATATGCCGCATAAGTTGGTAAAAGGGTTGGTACCCTTTGTATTACCGTCTAAAATTGGTCCTTTCCTTTTATGGCGCATGAATTGATAAATTAATTAATTTATCACAAATGGTATCTATTTTTTTTCTTTTTCCTTTTTTTTTTCTTTTTTTTTCATTTTTTTTTCCCAAACGAAGCACAAATGGTATCTATTCATCCCATTGGTTTTGCAACTTGATCCAATATCCGCTATTTACATCCAATCCAAATCCAAATTCTTTCTTACTCATTTGCTAATTGGATTTATTAAACTTTTTCCTTTGATAATAAATGCATTTATTAGACTTAAAATTGTAGTAATTGAAGTCACCCAAACCCCAAAATAAATTAATTAATTAAATTTTAAAAAGTGAAAAAATTGCAGAGGCAGATTTTTCCTTACTTGCACAAACGGGAAGCCAATAATCTCTTTCCGGACTATCTCTCTCTCTCTCCATTTCTCTCTGACCAAGGATAAAAATCTCAAGTGGGTTCAGTCCCCGACCTGACCTCCGACCTGACCTCCGACCGTAGGATCTACGCATTTCCTCGGAACCAACGGCTCTGATCGATTCCTTTCCCTGCAACATCATCATCGTCGCAGATCTCTGATCCTCATCTCCGTAAGAATCAGAACATCCTCTGTAAAATCGTCGCATGTTTTGTTGAAACTTGAAACTGGATCTGGGTATGTAGAAATTTTTTTTTTTTTTTTTCCTTTGCAGGAGGTGTTTGAGATCTGCTGTTTCCATGGGTTCTCGAAATCCCACCAAAATAACATTCAAGCTGAGGAGGGAAGAAAAAAACAGTTTTACCCAAGAAGACATACATGTCCCTTCAGCTTCAGCTTCATCTTCATCTTCCTCATCATCGTCATCTGATTCAGATGATGAAATAATTCAAGCCCATTTTAATTCTCATCAGCTGGTGCTCTATGACCCTGCAACAGCCAATGCTAATGCTAATGCTGTAGCTACAGTGCATGAGAAAGTGAACAGGCCCAATCCTTTTCCATTTCATCGTCCACCTAGGGTTTTGCCATCTGTTGGGGCCTTCACTGTGCAGTGTGCCAGCTGCTTCAAATGGAGGCTCATCCCAACAAAGGAAAAATATGAAGAGATTCGTGAACACATTCTGGAGCAGCCCTTCTACTGCGAAACGGCACGGGAATGGCGGGATTTTGTTTCTTGTGATGACCCAGAAGACATTACTCAAGATGGAAGCAGGCTCTGGGCAATTGATAAGCCCAACATTGCTCAGCCCCCACCCGGCTGGCAACGCTTGCTGAGGATTAGAGGTGAAGGAGGCACCAGATTTGCAGACGTGTATGTACTCTTATCATATTCATAAGCATTACCAACTTGCAACTTTTTGTGACATGCCCAGTTAACTACTTTGTTTATTCAGGTACTATGAATCACCATCAGGCAAGAAACTTCGATCATCGGTGGAGATCCAAAAGTAAGTTTGTGTCTTTCTGTTTAGCTTAGCTTGGATTTCTTCACAATCATAGCTAGCTCTTTGATTAATGGTTATGCTGGTTTTGATTTTTCAGGTATTTGCTTCAACATCCTGAGTATCTGGATGCTGGGGTTACTATGTCACAATTCTCGTTTCAAACTCCAAAGCCTTTGCAGGAAGATTATGTGAGGAAACGTCCTGATAATTATGTGAAGAAGCGTCCAGCTCACTTGACAGCTTCTTCTGCTGCCAAGAGACTTCTTGAACCTGGTGCAGAAGGTATGAATTCTTATACAATGTATAGTTTTGTACTTCTAACTCTGTTTTCCAGTAGATTATATGCCCCGTGAGTCGATATGGAATGACATTGTTTCCTGATGATGCTTATAGCCCATTAGTTGCTTTTTTCCTAGTCAGTAAAAATGCTTCCACCGTTGCCTGCTTGCCGAAGTCTAAAGTATACCTAAAAGAAAATTAGGGAATTGCATATTTTTCTTACCTGTTTGAAACGGGCATAGAAAGGTTGGTGAGTTGATGTGTTTGGAAATTTACACTCGTTAGGCGATGCTGCAAAGTGTATGTGCTTCCCATATACCGATGCATTCTTTCTGCTACATATGCTGTGATTCATTTATGTATTGACCTCGACTTGTGCAATACATTATGCAGTTCAACTAGAAAACCCTTGAGTGGGATGTCCTGTACATTATGTTCCTGCACATCTATTTGTTTCTACAGCATTTTCCTTTAAGACAATTAGTATAATGTGATATACAAAATTTAGGCAGGGAGATGCATAATTTGCCATCTGGAATTTTTATTATTTTTCTCCTTCTTGGGGACATAGAGACCTTTGAGTTTAGACGTCCTGTTACTTCAGAGATGGTATCTTTCTCTGCTTGCAGAAAAATAAAACGCAAAACTAATAGTTGTCTTTCTGCTGCAGTAAGTCCCATAGCATGGGTTGGTCCAGATGACTCCGCAGACTTGCAACTTGGTAGGCCAGCATGCTCTCCATACTCACAGGCACCTCTGTTTGATCCTTTTGTTCGACCAACAAAGAAACGAGCAACGAGAATTCCATCAAAGATTTACAGGGCTAATGCATATAGTAGCACAGAGTCAAGGTAGAAGGGCCTGATCAATCTTGAAATCATATTTATCTGTGGAGCTCTGTCCAGATCGTTTTTATTTGCTGACTGAATGTCTGATTGTGTTCTCTCGTTTTGCCTTATAATACAAAGTTATATACAGTATATCCAGAGAAGAAAAGTAGAGGTTTGAACGCATGAGAATCATTTTGGGGTCTGGGGGTTTTGTAGGCCGCAGCCTGTGATATGTAAAAAAAAAACTCTCAATAGAAAGAAAGTCCATTTTTGATTAGCCATGTCAGAGGTAAGGCAAACCAATTTCACATGTATATGCAATTGAGTCGGATGATTGTGCAGCTTTACATCTTTACATTTGCATGGATTGTGCCAGAGCATGAATTGTGAAATTTAGCTCTTTGGGGTAGATGCTCCAAATGTGGCTTCCGCATATGTGCTCAAATATGGTGAAGAGAGCAATGGTTATTTTGGGGGTGCAAGGCAAACAATGCCTCTTTTAAGATTTTCTGTTTTATCCGTTTCTGGGATTTTTTTTTCCTTTTTCTAGTATTGAACTGACAAGTGGCTGAGGAATTATTCAATCAGTGCTTTTTGGTGGATGTTTTTTCCTGTTCAAGATTTTGTCCCATTAAAGTATGAATAGTAAGTGGCCCGGGCGAATTGCAAACTTTGACCTGGCCAACCCGGTTAGGACATGATTGTCATTTTGTAAATATATTTTGATTTTGGGAAATCTTTATATTAAATTGTTGTATAATTATCATGAAACAATATATTCTCAATATGTTACTTAATTGAACTTACTATTAAAATCAACTAGAATTTGGCCGGTGCTGTAAACAAGACCTAAATTGGACCTTCGGACATCCGGTAAGGTTCAGTGTTATCATATGGTGTCCCAAAAAAACCCCAGGATCTGACTAATGCCATGGAAAACTTACCACTAACTTGATTGATCATGCAATAAAATCTGAATGCCAAGGTTAGATTCTAGCATTACTTGTTTATTCTTTTTTTTTTTTTTTTGAATAAATTTGGTTGTGGTTAAATAAAGGGAGTTTCACTAAAATATCCAAAATGGGGGCTGAAATTATAAAAATACCCAACACCCAAAACACTTTATAAACATACCCAAAACTCATCATTACACACACTCAAAACCCATTTATAAACATACCCAAAACCCATCATTACACACATACCCAAAACCCATTTTGGGTATGTTTCTATGTTTAAATAGTGCTTGGGTATTTTTATAAATACATGTCTAGGATTGGGTATTTTTATAAATATCTATTAAATAAACTTGTACATCAACATTCCATTTCATGTGTGACTGCTGCTCTTTTTGAAGCAGAACAAAATCTTAAAAAGAATTAGCTGTACCTTCTCCATGCCAAGCAAGCACTACATATTGCAGACAACTATGGAAGAGAGTTGGGGATCAGAAGCTCCACTGATGACAGCACCCTTGCTTCTAACATCTAGCAGATAATCCAAAGCTTTTTTTGTGATAGTCTCGCCGGGGACCATTACCGGAATCCCAGGCGGGTATGGACATATAAGCTCCCCACAAACTTCCCCGAGGCTGTTTTCAATACTCACTCTCCTTTTACCACTAAAAAAAGCATCTCTAGGAATCAAGCTTGTTTCTATATCTGCAAAGAGGGCTGAATTACCACCTTCAACCTTCCTTTTAGCAGCCGGAGTGGATGCACAAGTGGCCGCTAGATGCTTTATTCCCAACACTAACCTCTGGACATGCTCTCTGCATGTTCCAAGGTTCATTGCAAATGTAATGGACTGGGTTTCAACAAGTTCACAAATGATTTCATGATCCTCATATAAGATTTCATCAGCTTCATAACCAGATAAGCCAAGCTGTTGAAATCCTATGGTAAGCCGCAGGGGATCCATCACAGGGAAATTAGGGAAGCCTTGAGCGTCAAGCACTGAAATACCTGAAATCTTTCTTATCATACTCTTAGTTTCAATGGCCAATTGCAATGCCTTTCCAAAAATAGTTTCTGGGTTTTCACTAATTTGAGCTCTAGCAGCATCTAATGATGCCAAAAGCAGATAACTAGGACTAGTACTTTGAAGTGTTTGAAGACATCTTGAAATTTTCTCTCTATCTACAAGACTCCCTGACATGTGCAACATTGATGATTGTGTGAGAGAGCAAAGAACCTTATGAGTGGATTGTACAGCTAAATCAGCACCTTGATGCATTGCTGAATTTGGCATCTGGGGATGAAATCCTAGATGTGCCCCATGAGCCTCATCAACAATCACAGGGATTCCACGAGAATGGCACAATTGGGTTATCTCGCTCAAGTCGCAGCATATACCATGATAAGTGGGGGAAGTGACCAAAACTGCAGCTGGCTTCTGCCCTTCTTTCTCCACTTCCTTGATTGCTGTCTCTACCTGTTATAACACCCATTTCGGGTCATATACAGAAATTTCAGCAAAAAACAATGGTAATAATGTGAACACGAAAGGGAGAAAGAGTTCATCATAATAATTTTGTTAGCATCTTTTAATGTTAAAAGAAACTTTTTGTATTATCCACTGATTGTTTTAACCATTACATTCATATTAAGCAATTGCATACCAAATATTTACGAGTGATAAATTGTAGTTGTGTGGTCTCATTTTGAAGTAATAACCATAACCAGCATTTCTTGTAGACTTGCCTGTGATGGAGTGACGCCACCAGCAATGTCCCAGTCAAAATTATAATCAGGGATGATGTACTTGGGTACTGCACCGGACAATACCATAGCAGATATGGCTGATATATGTGAATTGCGAGGGAGAATTAAAATTTCTCCAGGGGAACATGTAGCCATAATCGCTGCCTGTATTCCACATGTGGTACCACCTACAAGAAACCACGTCTCCAATGACCCAAAGAGACTAGCTGCCTGTTGTTGAGCATCTAAAATGGGCCCTCTTGGAGAAAAGAGGTTGTCAAGCTCCGGAAGCTCAGGTAAATCATGAAGAAATGGTTTTAAACCAATAAGCTGAGTCAAAGAAGATGGTGCAGCTCGACCTCTGTTGTGCCCAGGGAAGTGAAAGGTAGCAGCATTTTGTTCAGCTGAAGCCTTCAATGCAGTAACAAGTGGAGGGGAGCTCTCCTGCTGAGATATCCGAACGTTAGAAATGACAATCTGATCCTTTGAGGCAGACCTGGTTTTCCCTATCCCACTTGTTTTATCTTGCTTCTTGCTTGGCTCTAAATTCCTACTTTCCTGCAAGAAAATTAGAAGAGTAAATGGATGCAAATGTGGACATCTCAACAGCAAAAAAAAAAAGGAACAAAGAAACTTCTGAAAAATAAATTAGCACATGCACTCTTTGATTTAAATATAATAGATTCCAATGCCTCTTTTTACACTGGTAAGTTCAGACGCCACTACAGCAATTTATGAGACTCCAAGGTCGGAGAAAGTCGAACTTAAGACCTATGCTTACTGAATCCAGTGTCATCTGAGCAACCTCTAGGGCTTTCATGTATTGAAATGACAGTGATGACATGCCTAATTATTTCCTCTTGCATTACTACCCATAAGAATCTCCTCCGCCATCTGTGGCCTTTATTGGCATCCTCATTTTTATTTCCATCCATTGTGAACTAGATTAGACTTGTTTCATAAGTTGATTGAAAAAAAAATGTTGACATTAAACAAATCATACTTAGGAATCAGTTTCTAGCTCCGAAAGCCTATAGCCAAAAATGTGCAGCTAACAAGAACCATACAAGAATCTATCTACAGGCTTTCTTTTTTCTTTTTTCTTTTCTTTTTTCAATTGGCAATGATTCTTAACAAACTTGGCAATGATTTCACCCTCTTCAAATAGATCATTTCATACAAGTAATAGTCCAGACCTGAAATTTTAACCACCATGAAAGTTGGGAAGTTCCAATCAGTGTTTTTAAAGGCATGCCTTCGCGCGTGTCGGAGCGAGGCAGCAGGAAATCGCCCGAGGCGGTCAGCTGTTTCGCGAGTTGCACGTTTAGCGTGGGGAAGGCGTAAGGAGCGTTGCAAGGCGTGGCCAGGCGAGCCAGATCTAGACACTTCTGAACAGGAAGAAATTTTGCGAGTCTGCAAATTGGCTGCGACTCTGCGAGGAAGACGACTCACGCGTTTGTTTTTTAGGTTTACTGTTATGAAACGACGTCGTTTCGATTGCGTTTTAAAAAAAATCCTAACTGAAACGACGTCGTTTTACTTGGAGTGTTTTGGTTAAAAAAAACGCAAGTTTCTGTTTTTTTTTTCCTTACCTTAATCTATATATATAAAGCAAAAGGCAGAGAATGGTGAAACATTCAAAATACCAGAAAATGCCTTTGGTTAATGCAAACATTAAGAATTGAAATTATTAATTAAATGAGGATAATATGGTAAATTCACACGTTTTCATATTTTTAAAAATTAAAATTAAAAGAAAATTCAGATAATGAATCCTATTTTTATGGAACATAACTACCCATTATCTTTTTTAATTCTAAAATAAATTTAAACTTAAAAAAAAAAAAACCTCTCGCAAGCACGGAAGTGCATGCAAAGAGGCTAGTTGTAATAAGGCAAGAAGAATTAATATCTTTCTTGCCTTTTCTAAATCCAGCCGGCTATAGCTTTATTCTACGTACCTTTTTTTTTTCTAAATTAATATATTAACACATGAACTTATATTATATATATATATATATATATATATATATATATATATAAAAAAAGCAAAAGGCAGAGAATGGTGAAACATTCAAAATACCAGAAAATGCCTTTGGTTAATGCAAACATTAAGAATTGAAATTAATTGAAATTATTAATTCAATTAGGATAATATGGTAAATTCACATTTTTTATATTAAAAAAATTAAAATTAAAAACGAAATCATATAATAATTACCCATGTTATCTTTTCTTAATACTAAAAATAATAAATAAATAAAAACCAATTGGCAAAGGAGCTAGTATATATATATTGTATAGTACAACCCTAATTTCTACCCTTACCAGATAATCTCCATCAATTTCAAGAATTCTCTTCATCTTTCGACTGCAAGTAAGCCATTTTATTTTTCTCTCTAATTCTTCGCAATTGTAATTTGAAGTTTCGTATAATTTTTTTTCAATTTTTTTTTCTTCAATATATTAGTGATCTTATTCGTTTATGTGATATAGTAGAAATTTGGCGTACATGTATCATACTTGTATCTTAGAAATATTAATGGTGTTGTTTTATAACAATGAATCGAAAAGATCCTGCATAGAAGTATGCAAAAGAAATAGAGGAGGAAAAATACTTGAGATGCACATTTTGTAATCAAAGATGCAGTGGATAAATTTCTAGACTTAAGCATCATTTGGGTCAAACTCATCATGGTATGCAATCATGTAAGAAAGTTCCTGAGCATGTGAAAAAAGAGTGTGCCGCAACTTTGAAAAAATTTCAGCTTGAAAAGAGAAAGAAAAATGAAATACTTAGAGAGATTAGGGATGGTCCACAAGGAGGAGCTCAGAGTATGGAAACTTCATTGAATAAAGAATATCCAATGAAGGTAATATTACTTCTAGTTTGAGTACGTAAAAAACACTTATTTAACACAATACAAAGGTAAAATACAGTTAGGATACTAGAAATTAGTAAAGAAAAGTAAAAGAAATGAAACAAAACAAGAAACCAAAAGTAAACACAAACAACAATTTCTATCATCCCTTTATCACCATTATATCACTACTGTATCACCTAAGTATCACCACTTTATCACATATTTGGGGAACATGGGACGGTTATGGACGGTTTTACTCTTACATTTGACGGCAACATTGACAGAATGTAACTGTAGAACTAATTGACCGAATAATATAGAGTTAATGGACCATTTGAACGAATAATTTAATTGATGGACCAAAATGTAAATTAGGTATAAGTTTAAGGACCATTTGATTAATTAACCTTATAAACAATTATTTTACTTGTTTGACCGTTTAAAATAAAACAGTTCTGTTTTGAAATTGTACAACATGGGGCGGATTTGGGGTAAACTCAGCCAACATGGCTTAATAGCGAACAATTATCCTAAAACAAGGCATGTATGCCCGACCTTGAGAGGGGTTAGCTTAGGCCCTACCCAGTCAGTGGTTTTTGTCGGCCCTGAGGGTTGAATGGGTAAGGTAGGGCCCGCCTTATCTTAAATAGGCTAAACCCATGCCCAACCCAACCCAAGGGCCAAGAATTAATATTAGCTTATTTTATTAACTTAATTATTGGATCGGGCTGCCCATAGGCTTAACATTTAAGGCCATAATCCTACCCATTACACAATGAACCTAGCTGAGTCCACCCATAATAATGGGCCGGACCTTCCATAACCCAAAAAATAATACCAGACGCCTATAGCCCAAAAATTAAGGCTGGGCTCTGGGCCTCTGGCTACCCCAACCCCAACCCTGGCTACCCCAACCCCAACCCAAACGAGACGACTTCCTAGCCACCATAACCATTTTGGTTCCTTTTTTTTTTAATTTTTGTTTATCCAAGTAATATTAGGATAAGGGGAAATCAAACCATCCTTGCATTTTTTTTTATGAGAGGCCCAAATTTAACCAACATTATAGGTGGCCTGGGGTATATTGACCGGGGTAAGCCAAGTATAATTTTTTATTTTTTATTTTTAAAAAGAGATATAGATGTAATTTGCAAAAGGAAAAGGTGTAGCCGATACTCTTAAGCCTGAATTTGCTCAAATAATGCATATTTTGGATATAGGTGACCTGGGGTTCAATCTTTTTTTTCCTTCTGGTTCGATCAACTCGCCCAAAAACAAATTAATGGCCCATTGGGCCCAGCGTAGGTAGGCTTGAACCCGATAAAGTGAGGGTTGATAAAAGCGATGTAGGAGAGGACGGAACTCACACACAATACTTCGAGTGCATAATAACTACTCTTAATCAATTGAGTTACAAGTCTTCGGTGTACGAATGAGCCACGGAGACAATTGGACAAACCGAACAGGTTGATGTAAACTAATATATAAAATCACACAGTGACAGACCCCCTTCATGTTTGTCTATTATCTCAGTTGGTGAGTCGTATTCACATTTAATGTTTACAATGCAATTGCACATGGATTGGGGGGCCAGCCCAATTGAGAAATAGAGTTCTTGGAGGCGAAAAATAAAAAAATTATTTCAGGAAGAAAGAAAGAAAAAAAAAACCATAGAATCTTACAACCAAGAAAGTGTGGTTCTATCATCTTAAAGTTTTTGACATTTGAGAGAGATAATAATATTCTTTTCAAAAGGTTTGAATCGGAGAATGATTCTAAATAAGTGGTATTCTGGACTGCTCTTTATATATTCTAAGTAAGTTTCTATTTGAGTTCATTTACGAAAGCCCGATACCCCAATAAAATAAAAACATGATGAGGTAAGTTACCACTAATGTTATAAATTAAGAAACTCTAGTTCCACTATTAATATCACTGAGATCTTTTGTGATAAAACCGCACACTTACTAAGCTTTGTAGGTGGTTAAGTTGTAGACAATATCAGTATTTCTAGTAGTGAACTGTTAACTCATCTCTCTAGAATTTAACGGTTATCTTCGCATAGCTCCGTCCCCTGAGCAACCATGTACTTTTACTCATGGTATATCTTTAAGTATAAAGTAGCCGCCCACTCATATTAGAACAGATGAATTAATGATGTTACAATAAATTCTCCATTAATACAAAATAGAGACAAATCCTTGCAAGAACAAAAGAAAGACAGTCGTTCATGTGGTGTCGACAATCATTAAGAAGACACATAGTGGCAGTTGAATGCATATTTTAGATGTCTGTGTGACAAAGAGATAATGGAGGGGACTGGGGAGGCCCCCCCATGACAAAAGCCCCTCTCCAAACTTTTAACATGAATTCTCCACCTTCCATCACTTGCTAGGGTTGAGTGCTGAGGGCTTCTGCCTCTGGCTCCAAGCAGTGGGAGGATATTCATTTGCATTATTGGATGAGTTTGAATCATGAGCTGGCATTTGGGATCCAACATGAAACAATGGAGATCATCTTTAGATATAATATATATAATGTTAGGGAGATCATCTTATCTCTTTAATAGAGGTGGAGCTCACTAATACAATGGTTCCCACCCTTTATTAGAGAGATGGTACACAAGTTGATCTCCCTAGCATTTTCCATCTTCTATACGGACATCCGGACTTTATTATCGTCCGGACGCCATGTATTTTGTATTATCCATCCCTACTTTCCTGCATGTGAGGTATATATAGTGTCCTTTTATTAAGGGATTCCTATTATTTGAGGGACACCCCGTACAAATTTTTTTTTTAACGATCCGAACATCTACTTTTCACATGTTCATTCAGAGATCATTCTTATAAAAAAATCTTGCAAATTGAAAATCATTAAGGCATCTAATTGAGACCAACAAAATCAATGAACATGATAATTTAATAAAGTACTTGAATTTCAATAATATAATTAAGTAGTCAAATAATATCGGATTCAAGTGATTTTTTGTAGAGATAATCTTTGAATGAATATATACAAAATAGACGATTTAGATTAGTGAAATACAATGCTAAGTGAGCTCTATAAGGGTGTCCCTCAAATAAGTATTTGAGGGATCCCTCAATGAAAGCTCTATATATTTTGTGTGTCTTCGTCACATATAGTTCATATCAATTATATCATGGTATGTGTGCCACTAAATACTAATCAAAACCCATAGAGAAATCTCTATCTGCATTATGGTATTATTTGCTGGGATTTTTACAATTTGCCATGCTTGCAAATAGGACACATTTTTTTTAGAGTAAGGTAAACTTAAACAGCTTCTGTTTTTTTCTTTTTCCCATAACCCTCCTCGTGGCATCACAAAGACGCTAGAAATGCCCAATAGCTAGAAAACGAGGAGGAATTCTATACCTGTAAATGCATGTGGCCTGCTAGCTGCCTTAGTTGACTACGCGTCTCTTGGAACTTGGTGAAGCTCTGGTTCAGGTTATTGAGATGCACTCACAATTTCCATTGGCACCACTTTTCTTTTTATTTTTTTTTCCTTTTTGTGATTCACTTTTGGACGGTAGAAATTAAACATTGATAACCTTTTACTATTA